ATAGCAATCAACCAATGGAACGCTTGTTGTGGGTGCTCCATCACTTGAGATTTTTAAGAAGAGACTGGACAGCCATTTATCCAGAATAGTATAGAGCCTCCTGCTTGAGCAGGGGGTTGGACTAGAAGACCTCCAAGGTCCCTTCCAACTCTGTTATTCCATTCTGTTCTGCTGCTTAAGGACTTCTGAGGCTGCATCTATCCAGATGCTGGTGCTAAAGCAAGCCAGAATTTTTTTAGTTTTCTTAGGGCTGCAGGTCCCAGATCCAGAAGTGACTGGTGGAAGAAGCCAACATCATTTAGAATTAGAATTAGGATTAGGGTTAGAATTAGAGGGGTGGGGAAGGCAGCTGGCCAGCCAATTGGTACCTACTGATAGATTTGTAATAAATTAGAAATGATTTTTTACACTCAATTATTTATTGAAGGACACAGACGCAGAAACATCTTCATACCCCTAAATTATACTCCTGAAACAAAAGGGGTAACCAGGAGCAGTGAGTGCTGTTCTGTGTGAGGGTTTTGTTTATTTGTTTGTTGTGCCTCCAAGTCAGTGTTGAGCCTTTGAAGTGCAGTTTTTTTGGCAAGGTTTTCCAGAGGTGATTTGCCCTTGCCTCCTTCCTAAGGCTCAGAGAGAGTGGCTGGCCCAAGGGGTCTCAGCTGGCTGGGTGCCCAAGGTGGGGCTGGACTCACAGCTCCCCGGTTTCTAGCCTGTGGTCTTAACCACAACACCACAGCGGTTCTCTTTTATTTGGCCGAAAAAGCGAATTCCTCTGGCAGAGCTTTTACCTCAGACGCCATTTGGAGGCTGTCTGGATTGTGGATTTTGAAAAAATGAAGACTTGCAGCTTTTTCCTGCCACCGACCAGCAACACCTACCTCCCGATGACCGAACAGGGGCCTGCATCGGTAGCCACTGCTGCCTTTGCATAGGTGTGCTTTTGTGGCTGTGGGCGCAGCCCAAAGAACAGCCCAATGCCAATGGCAAGGGCCAAGAGCACCGCCGTCAGGATCCCGATCTTCAAGAGCTTCGTGTTCATATTTCTTGAGAAATAAAAGGAGAGGCGGATTAGCAGAAGTGCCAGAGCAGTCAAGGCAGAAACAAGGACAGTTCACCACACAGAGGAATAGGCAACCCTCCCCAGATGGCCAAGCGTTGGGGGAGAGCTCTGGCCGAGGGGTGGGTGAAGCTTCTTGTGATCAATGGCTTCAGCTGGCGCATTGACCTCACATGTCTTGAGGTTTCCTATGTTTTCATTCAGTTCCTAGAAATGTGACATTGCTTGGGAGTCCCAGAAGACAGAAACACGACCGATTATTTCAACTAAGTAAGCACCGCTATAGATAATGGCTGCAAAGCTCATATTGTCATGAAGGCTGATAACAAAGATGGGTCCTGTGAACAGATAGGAAATCATGCTTCCCCCTGACCAAATCATCAATGGATTCCCCCACCTCTAGTCCTCCTGCCCCCACCGCCCGCCCTCTTTTGTGTTTCACCAGAAAGGAAGACCTCCCCAAAAGCCAGGGGAGCCTCAAGTCATGACAGGAACAGATTGTGCAGTCCATTGTGTGGTGCCTCCCGAAAAAGGCACAAACAGCATGCCCTGATATCAGTACAGAGCCCCCCCCCCTGCAACCTGAAATTCAGAGCCTCCCTGCCCTCCCCCTCCCCAGTGTGCTGGATGTGGGGTGAGATGAGGGACAGGAGATGTGTTCTTGCCACCATTACCTGTTGTTATATGGAGCAACTTCCAGAAGCAAAGCTCCTTCTGATCCCAAAGCGATCTATGGGGATTCCTTCCTTTCCTCCCTTGTGCAATCTCTCTGGAAAGAAGCAGCTGGGGAAGATCAAAGAAGATGTGGGACAATCTTTCTGCCCCAACTGCCCCAGCCCCCCCCCACACACACAACTGCCCTGGTTGATGAAGCCCTTGCATTCCAACTTGGGGGTCATTGGGAGAGGTCTCCAGCAGTTGTGGGGAAGAGTCCATCTTGGACTACCAGAAGAAGACTCTGAAGTCCTGATTTCCTGCTCCCAGCTGTTGCTGTTGCTGCTGCTGCTGCTGCTGCTGCTGCTGGGTGAGAGCAGCAGGTGAGAGCAGCAGGTCCCCACCAGCCCCATTGTTCCCTGCCTCGAGTGCCTATGGGGCTCAGCAGGCCTGCTTTCACCCAGGCCTGTTTCAGAGCTTCCTGCAGCTTCTCCCTTCCAGAGCCTCAGAGTGAATCAGCACCGGCAGGTCACTGACTCGCTGGCTGTGGGCATGGCCCCATCGGCCAACCCTTCCCCCTGCCAGGGTGGGATCCTGCTCCTCCTGGCTGGCCTTGCAGAGGATGAGTGGCTGGCTGAGTGGCCGGACCAGGCCGCTGCCTCTGTCTCTTGTCTCTCTCCTGAGTGGACCGGGAAAAGGGCAGCAGTGTAAGGGGGCCTTTCACAACCCCCCCCCCATACTTTTGTGAAAAGTGACATTTTATTTCACTACAAAATGCTCTATTTGGCACCTGGGCATCCCTCCTCTTGAATTCCTGGTGTTTGAGTCTTAGTAAAAACATCTCAAATTATGCTCTTCATTGATTTAATGTTTGGAAAAAATGGATCACGGGATGTTTTCTAAAACTGGAGATCGGCTTCTGAANTTCAACATCAAAGCGAAAGCTATAAAGTCTTGCCTTACGACAGGGAAATAAAGCTAAATTTGCCTATTTATTAAATTTCTAGACTGCCCATCACCCTTGCCTGACTCTGGTCTCAACTTGATGAGAGGCTAAGACTAAAAATATTTTTTTATGATAGTGTTTGCTATGAATTTCCTTTTTGTTACTTCGATCACTTAATATTTGTTTAATATTAGCTAGTTCAACTGCTAACTCTAAACCTTTCTTCAAATGGAGATTTTATAAAATCATGGAAGGGACCTTGAAGGTCTTCTAGTCCAGCCCTCTACCCAGGGCAGGGGTCCCCAAGCCACCGCCGACAAATGGCCCTCTCGCCTTTGCTGGAAACCCTCCACAGCCCTCCGGCAGCCAAGCCCTTCCCCCGCATCAAGGCTCTCCCAGCCAGGCAGGCCCTCCCTCCCTCCCCTTCTGCCCACCGGTCCTTCTGCTGCCCGCAAGAGCTGTGGAGGAGACATCCACACCCTCTTCCAGCACTGCAAGATTACCAATTTCACACAGCAACTCTGGAATAAAACACTGAATGAACGAGTTGTGTTCTGGTCACGAGAGGTGCTCATCCTCCTGCAGGTCTGGGCGTGAGACGCGCCTCAGAATAGCTGGTTGCATCAGGACCAGAATCCCTGCTAGTCATTTCCACAACCCCTCGGCTTAATTCCCCCCTTGCCTTACGCGGCGTCATGGGGCCCGGACAGAAAGGGCGGCCTCCCTCCCCGGCATTTGTGGCTCAGGAAATCCCTCCGCACAAAATGGAAGGCTGCAAGCTTGAAGCATTTTGGGTGCTGTGGTTTTTTTTAAGCTCATTAAGGACATTTCTTGTTAGTTCAAACTCTTCTTTTAATGGAAATCACAGCACTGAGCCCCGAGCACATCTAGTATTCCCCAGCTGATTATAAGTTAACCTTTTCTTTCATTTAACTTGAAACGTTTTGAAACAGGTTATTTCCCTATTAGTATGGCTTTATATTGAATGTATAGTAACATTCTTATCTTGTAAACTTTTCTTAACAGATATATATATTATTAGTTGGGTTCTGATTACTGGAAATATGGAAGAAAAGTAGCTGAAAGTTGGTCTTTCAGCCAGAGATTATTTGAGGTGTGATCTGGATCCTTTAGGAGCTCCTAAAAACATCTGGCTCACAATTCCTGTCCCTCCCCCTCCCACCCACAACGTTAGTCTGAGTCAAGGACCTCCTTGTTGTAAGCATTTCATAACACCTGTGGTTTTTCAACCACCATAATTGTTTGCTTACACACCTTCTACCACATTTTCCAGAAAATCTAAGAGGAGTGCTGTCCTACCTGCCCTGCCGGTCCATGATCTCTCAGGTTGGCCAACCGGAACTTGGCATCACACCAGTGCCAGAGAAAGGGGGATGTGCTAACCGGGTAATGACCTTTTGGTGCCTATTGAGGGATGCATCTTGATCCATTTTCCCCATGGTTTATTATCAATCTTTCTCTGTGTTAAAGGGATTTGCCAATGTGCTCAACAAATTAATTTTTGACCACAGAAACAGGAAATGTTCTTGATATAGAGCTGGCTGGACAATTGTTCCCAACATGTTCACATCGCTGGTTCCTCCCAGCCCTTCAAATCCAGTGATTTGAATGTTCTGCTTTCACATAGTAAGCCAAATATAACCTAACCAAAGTGGCTGGATTTGCACAACACATTGAGCCATCATTTGACTATGGCTAATGTTAACCAAGTTTAGGACATGCAAATGAAGCCACTAATCTTTAAGTGTGAACAGAGCAGGAGTCCATGTGGGTTGAGAATAGACCCCCCCTCAAGAACTGAACCAATATTAACCTTTCTTCCCCTTCTCCATCAAGGGCCTTCCTACAAGGGAGACCCCAAGGAGCAAAGGTGGAAGCCTGCAGAGAAATTGACTTGGGGTGGGGTTAGTGGGAGGCCTTCATCCCACCTTCAAGGACGGCTCTGGGTTCGAGCTTTGCGCCTCTGACTTTGCATCGTTCTGAAATAGACACCTTATTAAATAGTGCATTGAACTAAACAGGGCAAAGTTGAGCAATGTGGTGCCTCAATCCCAACGAGGTGCAAGTCGACTGCAGCACTGAAAATGCTGCTCTAGATTTGATGCAACCGCAGGTGTCCTGATGAATTTTGCTATTTGTTTGATTATTTTTTAGATAATATTTTATTAATTTTCCAATTTTACATTTAAGTATTTAAAAAGCAATGTGGTGGCTGGGTTAATCAATAGTTCAATAACAAAATCTTTAGTACAAATCTCAAGTTACAATATCAAATATTTCCTCTCTTTTTCCCTTAACATTTACTGTCTCGTATTTAAGCTAATACAGTTCTTATTATATCAACTCAGTAAAAACATCATTATTACATTTATCAATAAATTTTTAGCTTATACGTATCTTAATTATTTTTATAGTCAATCTTCATAAACAATCCATATCCTGTTATTAATTTTTTCCCAATTTTTAGTTTCCCATCAATATTCCAATTTAATCTTTGATATTTATAATTTTCAGGTTTTAGGTAACCAAGATTTCCCTTATCTCAATTCATAACAGAATCTAATATCCAAAATACACATTTTATCTATTTGAATATAATCTTGTTCTATTTCCTAAAAGTTATCTATTTCCCACCATATTAAATAATCTACTTTATAATACAATATCCCTTTAATAAATCAAAACCATTGTACATATTACCTGGGTTAATCAATAAATCAAACATATTCATAATAATTAATTTTTTTCTTTTAGGTCTAATTTTTAAATATTAAACAGATAAAATCCTTATTTTCAACTAATTTACAAATATTTTAAATCTAATGCCCAGAATTCCCCTTATCTCAACTTCTCCCTTTAATCCTCTAATTAATAATATGAAATCCCCTCTAATAAATCAAAACCCCAATTTTCTTCAGCCTTATTTTGGCTTTCTTCCTTTGCCAACTAGGCTTCTATATCAATGCTTTTAGCTCGTCAAATAGATCTCCATTATTATATATGTTATTTGAAATAAAGGAGACCATTTAATTGCCATTTTTTGGAAGGACTAGCCCATTTGTATTCATAAACTTGTCTCCCTATTATTCCAATTCCCCATAATTGCCCTGATATGTTTATCTGTTTGATTTTTTATGCTGTCTTTATAGATAGCTCAAGGCATGAATATACTTAATACTCCTTCCACCTCCTATTTTCCTCACAACAATAACCCGATGAGGTGGGTTGGGCCAAGAGAGAAGGACTGGCCCCAAATCACCCAGCCAGCTTTCACACCTAAGGTAGGACTAGAACTCACTATCTCCTGGTTTGTAGCCTGGTGCCTTAACCAGTAGACCAAACTGGCTCTCTAATCATCATCCATTATTATTTCAGTTTTGAAACCAGGATATCTAGCTCAACAAGGCTGTTTGAAATCAAAGTGGCTTCATTTAGCCTCAGAAAAGTATTTCCTTCAGCAAAGGGAAAGTTCTGATTAGAACGGGCCAGTAAAACTCTGCCTAGGTTGAGAAAGAACTCAAGGCAATTGGATAAGCTGAGCAGGCTTAACAAGGACCAAATTTTCCATCTCCCAGCACAACACGCAGGAAAGGCTGATCTGACCTCTGTTCCCCATCTGACCTTCCCTGCAAATCTCTTTCTCTTGTATTACCTTGGAAAAATAAGGGCAAAAGATTGCCGCTCCACGCCTTCTAATGTTGGGCTCTGTAATTTTGTTTCTGGCTACATCCTTCCCATTCCTCCTGTTTTTAGAAATGAAACTGTAGTCCCCTGGTTGCAAAAAGTTGGCTCTCCCTTTCAAATATAAGACTCTTTTTCAGATGATAAAATTGTATCTTGCCTGTATCCATTTCCTGTTCCATGGCACATGCACAGACTCTTCCATGTTGTTTCTTTCTATTATCTATCTTTATCTGTCTAGGAGAGCCTACATCATTTCAGATAAGTGGCTGTCCAGTCTTTTCTTAAAAACCTCCAGTGATGAGGTATCTACAAATTCTGACAGCAAGCTGTTCCACTGGATAATTGTCCTCACTGTCAGGAAGTTTCTCCTTAATTCCAGGTTGCTTCTCTCCTTGATTAGTTTCCATCCATTGCTTCTTGTCCTGCATTCAGGTCCTTTGGAAAATAGGTTGACCCCCTCTTCTTTATAGGAGCCCACTGCTATCATATCCCCCCTAGTCTTTCTTTTCTCTAGCCAAACCCAAATACTGCAATTGTTCTTCATATATTTTGTCTCCAGGCCTTTAATCAGTTGCTCTTCTTTGCAGTTTTTCCAAAGTTTCAACATCTTTTTTGAAATGTGATGATCGAAACTGGATGCAGTATTCCAGGTGTGGCCTTACTTACTTTCTATCTATCATCTATCATCAATTTATCATCTATCATCTATCCGTCTATCAATGGATCCATGATCTATCAATCATCTCTATCATCTGTTTATCTGTCTGTCATCAATCAATCATCTATCAGCTATCATCTAGCTATCATCTCCCTCAATCTCTCTCTCTCTCATCTATCCAATTTTCAAAGCCATCTGACTTCCAGCTGCAAACCATTTGCCATTTCAGTTGCCAAATGTTTATGCAAGGCAGAACCCGACTCCACCCCAAAAAGCGGTAAAGCATTGGTATGATTTTGAAGCACCTTCCCCAAATTCTGCAGTGCAAGGTCTGCCACCCTCCCTTGCTTTAAGGCTCTGGAGAGAGGCCCAGCCGGGCACAGGATTTTCCACTTATGGGAGGGATCGGGCAGCCACTGCCATCTTGTGGGTCTGGCGGGGTTGCCATTGGTCTTGTGGGGAAGACCTGCAAGTATCATCTCACCCATGTCATTCTTTCCTGATGCCCTCCCTTGTTTGGGGGAGGGGGTCCCTCCTAGGACATCCATATTACAACTGCCCCCTCTTCAGCTTCACTTTGGACTGGCCCTGCAGGGCACCCAACACTGGGCACACATTTGCACAGTACAGGTCATGACAACATGGAGGGCAGACGGGCTCGGCCACCTCCTCCCCAAAGGGAAACATCTGGAAAAGGAAGACCCTTCACCTGGCCTCCGAGGCTGCACAAAGCCACTTTGGCATCGAGCCAGGATCATGTGAACTATTAGTACCGCTTTATAAAGCCTTAGTAAGACCACACTTGGAATAATGCAGCCACTTTTGATCACTATATTGTGAAAAAGATATTCAGATTCTGGAAAGAGCACAGAGAAGAGCAACAAAGATGATTAGGGGGCTGGAAGCTAAAACATATGCAGAACAATTGCAGGAATTAGGTATTTCAAATCTAGTGAACAGAAGGACTAGGGGGAGACATGACAGACACAGAGAGAAGGATGGAGAGAAAGAGGGAGGGAGGGAGGAAAAGGGAGACAGAGAGAGGGGAGGGAGAGAGAGGGGGAGAGAGAGAGGGGGGGCACCACCTCGCTTTGCCTAGCTTATGGCTCAACATTGTTCTCTGTCCAGAGGGTGGCAAACCTCCCCCCAGCAAGCGGGACCCTTTGCACAGCCAGGCAGCCCCTCCCCTCCGCATTCCTACCTTTCTGCCCCGCCAGGGCCCTGGGTTCAAAGTGCCAAGACGCTCCCCTGCCTCTCCTGGTGGCCTTTGGTTTGCTGGGCAAGAGCCGTGTGTCGACGCCAGTGTCAGCAGCAGCAGCTGCCACAGGTGAACCTTAGGAAGGGGAGGGGCAAGGAGGCAGGGAGCCAATGGCCTGGGCAGGAGACGGCTCAAAGATCTTGGACTTCACGCCCTGCGTCTGGGGCTGCGCCTCACAGGGAAAGGCCAGAAGGGCAACTCCACGTGGGGTTTGGCGCAGATCGAAACAGGCAGACTAAGCCCTTTGAGGCATCTGGAGGAGCATCCCTGCCTGACTCATGGCAAGCGGTTCCCTGCTTTCCGCTCCCCTCCTGCCTGCCTGCCTGCCTGCCTGCCTGGCTGCAGGAGAGCAGCAAAGCCACCCTGCAGAGAAGGACAGCTGGGCCAGAGGGGCCGGTTCCGTGGGCCCTTCCCACTCTAGGAGTCTCCCACCCTAGGAAAGGAGACCCCAAGCCATGTGCTGCAGGCTGGCGGGAGGCTGGAGAGGCAGCAGAGCTGAAAAAAGGATCCACTCTCCCTCTCACCAGATTGGGATCCAAGAGAGATTCTCTTCAGTTCAGCCAAGTATGCTTTCCCTGCCCTGGGCCCATTGAAACCCATCACGGTTATGGACCTGAGCTATTTAGACCTGAGTGAAGCTGCTTAGAAAGTAAATCCAAACGAAAGGTGGGCCTTGCCCGCTTCCTTCTACCTGCGGAATGAAGGTGGGCCGTCAGCCTCTTTCTGCTGCCTCCCTTTGCTAGGGGGGCGGCTCAGATCCTCTGCAGCTGCTGCCCAGCATTTGCCACCCCCTCGCAGCCCCCCGGAGCAGCCTGCCAGGGCCTGAAGGAGAAAACCCCCCTGGCATTCTGTCTCTGCCCCACTGGCAAGCCCGGGGCCTGCAGCGGCACCAGGTTGACGAATTGTGCCAGCCTCATTCTCAGGCATCCGCCAAGTCGAGCAGAGGGCTTGGGGCATTCCTCAACCTTTCTCCCCCCCACCTTCCTAAACATTGTCAGCTGGCAGGGAAACACCTGCCCATCAACCTCCTTCACCCTGCCTGGGAGTGGCAGGTGGTGGATGTCAAATGGCTTCACGTGAGCCGCTCTGGCCCCAAACACAGGAGTCGAGTAGGAAGGGGCCAGGAAGGAAGGGTTTGGTGACCCAAAAGGGTGTGTCTGTGCAAACAACTTGGGGTGGCCAACGGAACCAGCAGGCTCACTGACCACAACAGAGACCAAACGATTGGTGGTGGTGTGTAGCTTGCCTCCAGAGCCCAAACCAGAACAGCTAAGAGTGACTCGAGGCTGCAGGCCGGAGGACGGGGACCCAGGTGGCTGCAATTTGAGAAAGAGGCAGGTTTGCACAGCCGTTATGGGCCAGTGAGAAAAGCCACATTAAGGTAGCATCTTTCCCCCTCTTCCAACTCCGGCTTGGGTGGCCTCAAAGGGGGAGAGCTTTGTGGAGGGAAGTCAGCAACTGTGGTGACTGGAAGGGGGGGCAGGTGAAAGGTCAGCAGTGGGGCAGTCCGAGAGGGCTTCTTCCGGTCAGATTCTGCACTTCCCCGAAATGCTCCACTTGCCTTCCAAGCACCTCAAGGGAAGCCCCAAAGAACCAGCTGGCGCTGGGCTTCATGGACTCAAAGTGGGGAGGGGGCACCCAGGAGAGACATTTGGCAAATGAAACTTCTTCACACATATGTAAAGTCTTCGTCTAAGCACATCTGCACTGACCGGTCAAATAACAGACTTTATTCTTGGCTTGGAGAAGTTCGAATTCAGTTTTATCCCACCAGTGGATGCTCTCTCTTCTCTCCCGAGTGCTGCAAAGGGGTTTCCGATGTTCTGCCCCCCAAAGCCCGTCTGAGCGGCTCTTGGTTTAGGCCGACTGGGAGGAGGTGGGACAGAGGTGGAAGGTGGAGAGGAAACCAGCAAATAGGTGTTGACAGAAACAGGAGGATGGCAGCTCACCATCTGGCAGGGAGATTCCAGCTGCCTAGTTTCCAAAATAACAACAGCTTTGCTATGAGGAAGTTTGCTTCATGTGGGAGGGAGGGCGGGCGAGATCCTTGTGCAACATGGAGTGTTGTGATGTGCCAAGCAACCAGGTGAAGCCTAATCCTAGATAAAATGCCAGTTGGACTCTGGCCAACAGAAGCAAAACATTGACTGACCTTGTTTTGGCAGTTGTTACGCTAACCCTTTGCACCAGTCTCGCTGAAGTATCCCATAATAACCAGTAAGATGAGACTCCTGCTGAAATACATCCTGCCAAGGGGGTGGATGAGTTGGGAAGGGCTTGCTCATATCTTGCATTAAGAGTGGCTGGGTGCAGATCTACTTGGCCAGAACAGCCCCCGCTGGGCATCTGTGTGGTGGGCACAGCCGGCATCTCTCTTGGGGCTGAATTGATCCAGACAAACTGAAACTGAAGGGGAAGAGGAAGAGGGCAAAATCCACCAGCCTTTTAATGGAAAGCTTCTTGTGAGCCCTGAGAGTTGATAGGTGACTAATTTCTCTCCCCATTTGCTATGAGGGCCCGGCCTTCCTTTCATGTGGTAAAAGTCCACTCTGGCCAAATAGGAGGCCTAGCTTCTTTCTTTCATCTCTCTGGGGTGCCACCTGGGCACCTGGCACAGGGCTCCCAGATGAAGCCTACAATGGGACTAGGCTCTGCTCTGGCCCACCACCTTCAACTCAGGGCAGTGGTTGGGAAGAGAGTGAGTTCACAATCAGTTCACAGATTGGCTCAGAAGGACATCTCAACAACTTCTTGAGGCCACTAGAATGCCAGCCAGCTCATCGGGGCGGGGGAGAGGGGAAGCATGCCTGACTGAGCTGGACAATGGCCCTTGAGAGATGCCATCTTCTAAACCGAGTCTTTGGCTTGAGCTGACCCAAGATGAGGCTGTCTTCCTGTTCTACCAGTAGAACAATCTTCAGGCAGGGATGGAAGAAGCCTCTGGGCCAACGCAATATTTCCCACCTAAAGGAGGAGATCTGCAGAATTAAATGGGCACTTGCCTGAGTGGCTGGCACACTCAGAGAAGGCAGCTGCAGCATGAAATCGCCACCACATTTTGCCAATGGCCACAAAGGATGAAGGTGATAACAGCGCTGCTCAACTCACCTCTTGCAAGAAGCCAGCCTTGTCTGCCTCTGCTTCACCCTTCACTGGCCTTGGTGAAGGATCTGCCCTGAAGCTCCCTGGCCAATTCCATCACTCTCCACACGATGCTGGCCCCAAAGCCCCCACCCACCGAGGCCCCTGCTGCATCTCAGCCCTGAGTTCACTCTTTCTGACATCCAATTATGGAGGAGGGGGTCATCAGGCGGGTTGAGGAGCACAACCGTCTGCTGCAGGATGAGCAACCTGCAGGCCAGATGTGGTCCTGGGCTCAGAGGAGCCCCTCCTGCTTTTCAAGCTGCTGTTTGGGTTGCTAACTTCCATCGGCACCCTGTTCTTTGGGGCTGCCATAAGGTACCTGGTACCCCTCGGCCAAGGTGGAACTGGGGCTGCAGCACTGAGACAGGCCAGCTGAAATTCCCGGAGTGTTTTTCATAGAATATGGAGGATTTTCCTTCTAGGCTCAGCTCCCTTGGATGCTGGTCTTCCACTTCATTATCTTGAGGCATTGTTTACTGCCTAGAAAGGCAGAGTGGAAATTTTGTGACATTTGTACACACCATTCAGGCCTATGGTATGGCGCACTTAAGCACACCGCTGATATGTTCCAGATGTTCTGTGGCCGCCCCCTAGTTTACGGTGCTCAAAACAGAGGGAGCATCTTTATCCCAGCAGCTCAGAGACGAGGAACCAAGACCCCCTCCGCGGTGCTGAAGAAAAGCAGGAAAGGGCGCCAGAATCCCGAAGGGCGGGGACGGGTTACAGCGGCGGCCCCCGGGAGCTCATGCAAGCAAACTGAGCAAAAGGGGTCTACGCAACGCAAGAGACGGGAGGGGCCTTCGGGGTCGTTAAGTCCAACCTTGCCAGAAGCAGGAACCCGGCATCTCCAACGGGTGCACCACGCAGACTGTTTAACCCCCCCGCCCCCCATCGCCCTTACCTCCAGGGCATTTCCCTGATATCAAACCAAAATCTTTTTCTTTTTTACACCGGAGACTCTTCCGTTGCACCTCTCAAGCACACGGGGGGGGGGCGCACGGGAGGCTCTCTTCCTGCGCTACAGCCTGGCTCTGCGCCCCCACCCCCAACGCCCCCACCCGTCAAGCGGCGGGCTTAAGCCGCGCCGGGTCCCATCCCCAGCCCCCTGTTGCTGGCCGGCAGAGCAGGCGGGGCGCTCCGTCTCAGGCCCGCCCTGTTGGCCTCTGAGGGGCCCAAGGGACGCTCTACTCGGCCTCCAGGGGGCTTCGGGGAGACCGGCAGCCTACGCGGAGTTTCCTCGCGCAGAGGAGCGGGCCGCCTCCCCCGGGACCAGAGACGCAGCCGAGGATCGGCTCCTCCCCGGCTGCGCGCCGCGCGCACGTGCCCGCAAAAACAGAGCCGCCTCCCGCCAGCCGACGGCGGACGGCGGGCAGGAGCCGGAGGGGCCGCGCGGGCAGCGCCAGCCGGGCAGGAGGGCGCCGTCCGCTGCACGGCGCCGCCCGATCCGATCCCTCCCCCCGGCCTCCCGGCGCCCCGGNCGCGGAACGAGCCGCCCGGAGGAGCAGCCGCGGCGCCCCGGCCCGGACTGCCGGCTGGCCTCGCTGCTGCTCGGCGCGGAGAAGCTGCCGGCGGGGCTGCGCAAGAGCCGCCCGGCGGCGCCCTACGTGCGGCGGGTGGGCTGGATCCGCGAGATCCAGGCCACCCTCCGCGAGCACCGGCACGAGCAGGCGGGGCGGCTGCTGCGGAAGGTAGGCGAGGCCGGCGGGGGGGAGGCGGCGGCACCGGCGCTGGGGATGCGCGCCCCGCCTTTCCTTCCCTCCGGCGGGCGAGGCGGACGCGCGGAGCCCCCGTGGGCAGAGCGAGGCGGGCGGGGGCGTCTCCGGCGAAACTGGGCGCCGCGGCGAAGCGCCGGATCTGGCGAGAAGCGTCGCTCCGAGCGCGGCTGCCGGGCGGGCCGGCGGGTGGCAAAGGGCGCCGCGGGGGGGGGGGGAGAAAGCGCGGCCGGGGGGGGCGGCGCTTCCTAACGGGACGGCGGGAGCCTCTCCAGCTCGGTGGGTGCAGGCAGCCCCCAAAGCCGGGCAAGGACGTGGGGGCTCCAATCACACACACACACCCACCGCGGGATTTTGTACTAGCTGACATTTCGGGATCTCCCCCCCCCCCAACACCGAAAGAGTCCTCTGACCTGGAGGCAGAAATGCGGCAGACATGGGGCCGGTTGCAAGAGGCTGCGCGGGCCTCGGGATGCCCGGGACAGTGCCAAGCAAAAGACACCCTGTCGGGATGGCAGATTCCCCCAGGTGTGGATTGTCCCAACCTGTCCAGGCCCAGTTCCAAGGAGCAGACCAGCCTTTGTGTGACTGCTGGAGAGCAATTGTGTTGCCCAGTCGGTTGTTGACTCTGTCAGTTGTGGGTGCGGTGAGTTTGCTGTAGCTTCTGCTCCTTAGTCGAAAGTGTCGTCCTGAGCCAGAGAGACGCTGCACCTGGCAGGAGAGCAGGAGGAGTGGGCAGTGGTGCCGGGCAGGTGCAGGGGAGTGCCCACTCGCACGCCAGGGTTGGAAGAGATGCTGGAGAAGGCAGCTTTGCCAAGCAAGCTCTGATGGGGGTGGGGAGCAGTTGCTCTCGTACCTTTTTTTCCATCTAAACATTCAGTTGGTTCAGCTTCCCAAAAGCTGCCGCCAGGATCCGATGGGCAATCTTGCAGCTGGGGATCGTGTTGAAAGAGTTTTAGGGACCGCAGCTGCAAGGATGCAATCTTTCCAGCCTCTGGAGCTGCCCCACGTCTGGGTGACGAGGACTGCACCTTCACCCTCCAGAGGCCTGCCTTGCTTGCTGGCCAGTGGCATGGCTGGGGGTGGCTCCCTCTTCAGTGCCCCCCCAGTTCTTAGCCACTTTCGCTCTCTGCTCATAGGACCTTGGCCTGGAGGGGACGTTCCTCAATGACGTGCTCTACAAGAAGGCCACCTTCCTCAACCTGGTGGACCCCATCTCCCACGACCTCCTGATGAGCCTGGCCAGAGACCTGCAGTGCCCCAAAAAGGTGAGGGCCACTGGGCCCCTTGGGGGGAGCACCGTCGGCACTTAGGTCTCTGGGTGGGGAAAGAGGCCACTGCTTGGGGGGCCCTGCTGGCACCCCCTCCAGACAAAGCTTGGCTGCCTGGGGGCTGCCTCTCCGGAAAGGGCAGGACCAGGGGACCAAAAGGGCCAGTTCTTATCCAACCACTAGGAGACCTGGTCTTCCTCCTCACCAGAGTAAAGGGCACGTGAGGCCTTCCATCCCACTTCGGCCTGGCCGAGGAACTCCAGGCCTCAGACACCATCAGGTCCTCCTGCCTTGGGAAGAAGGACAGAAGCAAGTTGCAGCATCCGGCCGTCACCCCAGTTGGGCGTACCTGTGAGGAAAGGGGCAGTTTCATGTTGCGACGCTCCTTGCTGGGAGCCCAGAGATGCATCTTCCTCTTCCTCTGGGTTAGGTTAGGGCAGGGGAGTTTCAGCTAGGAAAGATTGGAGGAGCTTCCCAGCAGCAGGAGCGAAGAAGGCCCTTGGCCACCCTTGCCCTGACCCCCAGCCTGCCTCTGCCCTGAGGGGGGGATGGGGCCTAATCTTGTCAGCTGCTCCTGCCTTCCAAGGTTATCCAAGTCTCCCCAAGTCCTCCTCTGCAGTGATCCAGCCTCTGCAGGGATCCAGTCACCTCAGTCCAGAAGTGCCAGTGGGAATCCCAGCCGGGGCCTCCTGCTTTGCAGCAGGAACGTGGCAGAGAAGCCAGGTCTTTGGGCCGTGGCTCTTCTGTCCCTGCTCAGTGTCCCTGCGCTGGATGAAATGGGGGCAGAGGCAGGACAGGCTGGCAGATGGTTTTTAGGAGAGGTTTTTAGGCTGGCCTCCAGTAGAGACACTTACTGGATTTTTTAGATTTAAAAATGTTCAGATTATTCTGCTCTGCTTATTCTGTGGCACCCACCGTCCTCCATGGGTGGCCCCCCTTGCTCTCGGCTCTCCTGAGCCAGCTTGTCCAGTAGGGTGTGCTTCTGCCAGCTGTGCTTTCCCTTCTGGCCAGGAGCTGGGTGGATCCCCCTCTGGACTAGCAGGAGACCCAGCTGCTTTCTGTCCCTCCCCTTCTTTGCCAGGAACCAGACACCCACATGCACCGTGCTGGCGCCCCCCTTCCTGTGCAGAAGGGCCAGGCGAGATGCAGGGCCTGCAGCCAGCGGGATGGGGGGGAACATGTCCTGATGCTGCGGGGGGGGGGGGCTGGGGCAGCTGGATGGACAGGGAAGCAGCCCCACATCTTGGGGTTGCCTCAGCTCTTCCCAGGTGTCTTCCTGGCAAAGGTCTCTGATCTCACAGGAGAGGATCGGCACGGCCCCCAATGGCTGCATGGTCTCCTGAGATTCCTGGCTGATAGTTACCGGAGCCTTTGGGAAGGCAAAGCAGCTGGCTGGAGCCAGGCATCTCCCAGGGCCCAGAGAGCCCTCAGTGGCAGAGCTCAGGCCGTGAGGATGTGGGACTGGCAGCTCTGCAAACTGAGAGGGGGCCCAGTCCCTGCCGACGGCTGCCACTTCCCTGCTTTCAGGAATACGATCCGTGGAAATCCTCCGACCGGATCTGCCGGCAGCTGATCTACCACTTGACTCCACATTCGAAATGGCATCGGTCTGGGCTGCCCCATCGCAAATCCCACAGCAGGTGAGCAGGAATGGTGTGCCACAGAAACCCTTCTGTGGATGGTCGGGGGTTGCAGGAGCCAGGAGGACACCAGTATTAGAGGGTGTGACATGAGCTCAGTTCCCACAGCAGATGAAATCCAAAGTCACGAAACAAGCGGCATTCCAAACAAATTATAATACAACATAATGCAATAGCCTAGTTCACACAATATGACTGGACAAGGCCTGGATTTCCACCCACAAAACACTAAACCACAAAAGTCTGTTTAGGGCATATCGTGTGAAGCCAGCTTCTCTAGAATCCTTGCTCTTGCAAGCACTCATACATGCCCTGGCTTTGAACACCCCCCGCCCCCTCCCACTTCAAGAACCATGGTTACTGAAAAACCCAGCATTGCCTTAAACCATTGCTTGCAAGGACAACAGCTGAGCCAAAGCCACCCCTCCCCCTTGTTCTTCTGCCCCTCTTCCGGCCAAGGCAATCCCCCTTCCCCAGCGCCATTCCCAGGCGGCCAGAACACAAACCAGCCGCAGCTCACTGCACACGCTCCAGGTCCCCCCCCCCACAGCAGGAGGACGGGAAATTGGATCCAGTGGACGGAAGGGTTGCAAGTGCTTATTTGGGGTCTAATGCTGTAATCCCCTCCCCCACCACGATCTTGGGCTGTGGGACCTCCACACAAAAGTTACTCAAGCTCCTTGACCAACGAGCATCGACCGATGTAAAGGGATGGCTTGCCCAAAATAGCTGGCTCAAGCCAGGCCCCTGCAGCAAACAATGATGGTGCCAGACTAGACCAGCCTACGGCAACGCCGTCATGCACTGCTTCGGTGCACTTGCACCCCAAATCCAACCCAAGCAGGCCAGGTGCAGCATTTGTGTGATGTGGCCCATTTTGGGTTGTCCCCCTCCGCCTCTCCAGACGCCCAGTTTTCTGAAGGGAGCAGCCCTTCCTTCTGAAGCCCCTGGCCCCTCTTTTTCTCCTTCTTTAGCCTGAAGTGGAGCCTGCACAAGAAGCCCAGCCAAGAAGCCGTCGATCTCTCTGGGGTCCCTCTCTCCACACGCGACATCCAGCGTCTGGCCAGCTATCTGCAGAACAGCGGTGACCACCTTTTCATCATAGACCTGAGTTTCACCAACCTGAAGGATGAGGAGATGCACTTCCTGATGCCTTTCCTGTGGTCGTTGCCCAGCCTCACCCACCTCTCCCTTAATGGGAACCACCTGACCCGAGCCACTGTGAAGGACCTCACCGACGCCATGAAGGACATGGCCAAGTTCCCCTCCTTAGCCTGGATCGATCTGGGCAACAACGTCGACGTCTCCTCCATGCCGCAGCCTCTGCTTGTTGGCCTGCGGAAGCGGCTCAGCCAGCAGACCACCCTGCCCACCATTCACGAGTCCTTGGACTGCGCTTCTGAGGCATCCAGTGGGCCTGAGACCAGCTTGCTGGAGGAGGAGGAGGAGGAGGAGGGGGAGGAGTTGCTGCTGCAAGGGGAAGAGGGTATCCCACCAGTGGCCAAGCGCCGCTTCCGCCAGCAGTCATGTGAAAGATGACTGGGCATGCATGGAGGTGTCCTCTGGAAGACTAAAGCCACGCCTGTGGAAGCTCTGATGGAAGAGAGGCCGCACCAGGCCTCATCCGCCCACTTCCTTGAGCCTTTCCAATCCCGACTTGGTCCCCTTGCCCCATCCTCTTCCTCCTAGTTGGGCTTTCTCAAATGCACCAAACCAGGCTAGTCACTTACCATGATGCCGCAAACCTGGCGAGCTAGAGAAAAGGAGACCATCTGGAGATGCAGAAGGTGGGCAATTGCTGTTGTGGGGAGGCGCATGGAGCAAGCCCCAGGCCCATCCTTTCCCAGATGTGCCGGGTCCACAGGTCCAGAGAGCCGTGTGAGAGTGGCATGGAAAGACTGGATGGGGGCCGAGACGGCGCCAGGATGGCACAGCCTGCCTCCTCCCCCTCTTCCCCTCCGAACAAAGGGTGGCGGAATGCGAGGCATGCGGTATCTGCAGCCCAGACACGTGACCGGTGGCATTGCAGGGATCGAGGGGAGCTGAAGTGGGTTGCACAGGTGTTTGTCGGGGGGGGGGGGGTTTGGAGCATCCCTTTTCCCACTAGTGTTTCTGCTCTTTGGGCTGCTTCGTGGACATCTGCATTCCAACGCCTCTGGGCTTTCTGGTCTCAATCAGGCAGTGATGGGGGCTCTGCCTTATGCCCAGGAGGAAACAGAAACCTGGGCAAGCCCAGTTCAGCAGAAAAACCTTGTGGTGTGTGATCTGTGATAGTAAATGACTTTCCTGGAGAGGATGAAAACATTGGTCAGGACTTCGCTGGGCAATCATCGTGCTCTCTAGAAACACCTGTTGAGATGTTCCCGACCTGTTTCTTCATAATGGGGGTTCCCCTTGCTTTGCCACTTGTCATTTCCCTCAGAAGGAAGAATGTGCACATTTTCAGCTGTGCCAGGGGGGCTGGAGTGCTTTTCTCATCCGTCCAATACAGGGATGCTTGTGTTTAACATCCCTTGCAAGGCCGGTGATGTTCCTTCATGGAGAAATTGGCTCTCCTCAGTTTAATTACAGAAAAGCCTCCCCCCCCCCATCAATTTAGGGCGTACAAAATAGTGATGACATCTAAGCCACAGCTGAAAGGTCAGAGTTAGACATTGAGGCTGCTAAGCCATTAATAAGTGGGTTTGCAGAATGTATCACTCGATTAGGGTTTAACCTCTGTGGCTCAGACACACAGAGAAAACCAGACACTCTGAAGAATCTTTTAAGACGACAAAAACTCCCGAGAACTTGACCACTGATGATGATCCAAAGCACCCAGCCTGTTCCCAGTTTCAAAGCGTGGCCATTTATGTGCACCTTTGGGTTTCATTCCATACAAGCCCCTTTCTGGGAACCCAAATCCTGTACAGATAAAAACTTAAGATGCAAATAAATTCTCCCCCCCCCCCCAAATGCAGTCCCCTAAGCCTTGGGCAGCCACTCTTGAACACCTGAGAGGAAAGGCGGCCCATTTATTAGAAGCCTCTGATAATAACCAAAGCTAAGAGTTCTGCTGGTAAGACTTGCAGGCTTTGCAATGAAGCAGCTCTCTGGTTGAGACCCCCAGGCGGCAGAGGAAAGATTGTCAAAGAGAGGGCAAGATCACTGGTCATCTTCAATCGGAGGGAGTCAAACCTTTTCTCAGTATGTAATATGATACTTTCCCTTACAATAACATTCCCAATTCTGGTCCAAAAGGTTTTGTTAATCTCTTTGAGACTAAACCAAACACATCATCCTCTACTTCAGGGGTCCCCAACCCCTGGTCCATGGACCAGTACCGGTCCGTGGCATGCCAGCAACCGGTCTGCACAAACAAAGCCCCATCCGCAGGATGCAGGCAGCACACAAAACCAGGCCCACTCCGGTCCACGCAAAAACCTCTCTCCACAGAACCAGTCCCGGGTGCCCAAAAGGTTGGGGACCTCTGCTCTATTTAACTCTCCAAATCCAAATTGCATGCTCAAAGATAAATTAAAATTTTAGAAGCATATGAGTGAACGTAAGTATAAAGATACTTGCTAGATAAACATTTTAAAAGCTTTATTCTGCATTTTGCAGATAGGGAGAAAAAAAATCAAAACTTAAAACATTTAAGTAAGCACTAATAAGAGCTCTTATACCTTGCCATGATTTAGATTTTATGGACCTGTGTTTCTATTTTATGCATTACCCAGAGACCTGGGTTTACTGATTAATTCAAAGTACAATAAATTATTTTAAAAATCATACAGGACATTCTTAAGCTCATGGCCATTCTTTTAATACTACTAACAACTTGTTTATTGAATCTCACATAGGAAAGCCACCCTCAAAAATTGTCTATTAACATCACTTAAAAAGCAGATGATTGGTTTTAATTTCAGTTTGTATTTTTTAAAAATTGTACCATAGGTACTGCAAGCAGTATGGGGTCTGGCATTTAAGGTGATCATTGAGGCCTACTATGACTATATAGCAGCAAATCTATATCTCAGTTAAGTCAATGACACACAGCAGATGCTCTCTTCCTATTTTGTAAGAAACATATTTATTAAAGTAGACACAAATTACAATTTAGCACAGTTTTCTCTTCAGCAAAGCAGGGTTTGATTCCAAGTTATCGCCGCTTCTGGAAAATGTTGCCACGCCCCATTCCACGTCCCCTTCCTCTTGCAGCCACTGGAGAAAACAAACAGAACACAAAAATCAGCAGCAAAGGACAAACACAAAGACACCCAGTCATGCTGGATTTCGTAAGGAGCCTATCGGATTTCTGAGAAGACTAAAAAGAAGCGAGAAAGCAGCAGGTGGAACTAGTCTCTTGTGACATTTTAAAGCCAATAAAACAAAAGCCATTGTCAAGTTGTGAAGTCCACAATAGGCAACACAAATCTCTTTCCGTCGCTGCTGCTGCTGCTGCTGCTGGAATCTCTCCACTTCTGGAGTCCCATTTGCAGCCTTTCGTGGGTGGTGGGGGAGGAGGATGCAGAGGAGGCTGGAGGTGGGAGCCCTGCTTGTGTCCTCTGGGCAGGGCAGTTCTCAAAACTTCCCCCCTCCCCTCCCCTCCCTCCCTCCCAGCAGGGCACCTCCTCCTCCATCCCCCCCCCCAGGGCGGGTGGAGCGGCGGGCCCAGGCCCCCTGGCTCCGAGAGGAGGCGACTCCAGGCAGGTCACGACCGGGGCATCATCGGCGGTTGGATCCGGTGCCATTCATCGCCGGGCGCCAGGTGGTGTCGAGGGGCCGCGAGGGCGGCGTGTGCGGAGGCGCCAGGGGGCCTTTCAGATGCTCGGGGTCCTTGGTGCAAAACGGGGGTGGGGGCGTCCACGGAGCCCCCCCTTCCCCGAAAGAGCAGCTGCGGCGGGGGCGGCGTCTGCGTCACGCTCGGCCCCCGTCGCCCTGGCACCGCGGCTCCCAGCTCGGCCCGCCCGCCGCCCGCCCCAGCGGCCCCGTCCCCCTCGCCCCGCTTGCCCGCCTCACCCTGCGCCTTGAGGATGGCGGCCTTGCCGCGGCCGGCGCCGGAGCCCTGGTTCTTGTTCTTCATGCTCTTCAGCATCGGCGCGTTCTTCAGCATGTCGGGCAGGATCAGGAAGCGGATCTTGCTGCCGCGGATGTAGACCTGCTCCAGCTGCGCCACCCGCCCGTCGCGGTAGGTCACCGTGATGTTGGACATCTGCGGGGCGGGAGGAGGGGGAGGAGGCGGCGGTGAGGCCTGGGCCCCGGGACCCCCCCCAGGCGCCCCCCGCCCGCCCGCCCGCCCGGCCCGCGCCCTGCCTGGCAGTTCATGTTGTCCTCGGCCTCGATGAGCTTCCCGCGGTAGACCTCGCCCGTGTTGGTCTCGCAGGTGACGATGTGGCCCTCGGCCTCGTGCAGCACCTTGATCGGCACCCCGATGGACATGGCGGCGGTCTGCGGGGGGAGGAGGAGGGGGAGGGGGAGGGCGCTCCCGGCCTGCCCCGCGCGCGCCGCTCTGCCCCGCCGCCTCTATGGCGCGCCGCTCTCCGCGGAGGAGGAGCGGCGGCGCCCCCGGCCCGCCCCCCCGCGCGACGCCCCGCCCCGCCCCGCCCGGGCCCGCCCGCCCAGCGCCATGAAGAGCCCGGCCGAGGAGGCCGCCGCGCCGCCGCCCGCGGGTGGGTGCTCCGGTCCGGGGGCGGCCCCTCGCGCGGCCGGGAGAGGAGTGGCCGAGCTGTGGGCCCCGCTGGCCTTGCCCGCCCCTGCCGACGCGGCGGCCGAGGGCGGCGGGGACGCGGTGCAGCTGAAGGTGCCGGCGCTGCAGCAGCTCTACCACTGGGACTGCGGGCTGGCCTGCTCCAGGATGGCGCTGCGGTGAGTCGCCCGGCCTCCCGGCGGGCCCCGCGACCCTCCCTCCCTCCCGCCGGCCGTCCGGGGCATGCTGGGAGCGGCAGCGGTTCTTCCCGGCTTCCCTTCCCTTCCCTCCTCCTCCGGGGCGCCCCGAGCCGAGAGACCAAGCCTCGCCGATGGGGGGGGAGGAAGGAGGAAGGAGCGAGGCCAGGGGCAGCCTCTGCAAGGCCGGCCGGGACGCCAGGCGGGGGCAGCGAGGAAGGCTGAGGGCCTCCCAAGGGGGCCGGGGGCTGTATTAGGTGTGGACCCCACTCTGCCCAGGCGTTGGCCTTTCGGGCTCCTGCCTGAGCTGGAGACGGCGGGCCCTGCCTTGTGGTGGAAAGCCTCGCTGGTCTCCAGAAGGAAACGGTTCCTTTTTTCTGCCTCCAATGCCCCCCCCGCCCCCCCCACCTGATCTGGCCCCAGGTACCTGAACCTGCTGGACGATGAAGACTTCCAGAGAGCCGTCCGGGAGCTCCAGTTGACCAAAAGCATCTGGACAATTGACTTGGCCTACCTGATGCGTCACTTTGGGGTGAAGCACCTGTTCTGCACCCAGACGCTGGGCGTGGACAAGGGCTACAAGAACCAGGTAGCTTGCCAGGCTGCTGCTGCTGCTGCTGCTGCTCCAGACACAAAGGGGTTCCAGGAAGGACGCTTGCACTCTCTCACGCTGCCCACCGTCTGCTAGAAATCCCTGGGTTGCCTCAATGAGAGGTTTGCCTTTTGCTCACAGGATGCCTCAAAGCCTCTTTTGAAGTCTTCCAAGATGAGCTTCATTGGCAGGCTTGGTTCAAGAGGGCTGCCCCACATGTGTTCTCTTGGGGGAAGCAGAGGGGGTCTCCCCTTACAGACCCTAGCAGTACCTTCTTAGGCTTTCCACCAGGAGAAGGGTTTGTCGTCTAACGTTTGCTCCTTGTCTTCTTTAGTCTTTTTATAGAAAACACTTTGACACAGAGGAGAACCGGGTAAACCAACTATTTGCCCAAGCAAAAGCCTGCAAGGTGCTGGTGGATAAACGGTGAGCTCCAGACTGATGCTTTGCCTTTCTTCTTCTAGCAGGTGATCCAACTGTTTATCCAGTTGTGCCGGGTCTGTTATAACCCAGAGTACCTAAACAAGACTGCACCACTTTCCTGTGTAGCCACGAGGGTGTAGCCAGGAGAACTAACAGTCCTTTGGATGCAGGGATTGAAATTTTATGCTGGGAAATAAATCTACCTAGGATGAGTGGGATATGCTGAGCAAAAGGGTGCGGTGTGACCGAGGCCACTTTTTTCCAGCTTTCTTCCTCCCATTGAAAGTGCTAGAGATAATAAAGGATGGCATTCCGAATCTGCTTGTGCATGGACCAGGGGTGCCAGTTAGTGAAAGATGATCAGCTTCAGCTGAACTGCTCTCCCTACTGCTTGCAGTTTTTCCCACATCCTCATTTCTCACAGGTTGTGGTTCCCCTGCAGTGGATAAGAATATTCCATGGACAATCCTAAGGGACATCCCGAGGCATAGTGTGGCTGTTAGTTTGAAGGGAAAAGTTGGAGAAGGAGTGACATTGATGGACCAATTTGTTCCTTCTCCTTGAGGACAGGAAGGGAAGGATGGAGAGCCCACTTAATAGCTGAACGTGAGCTCAAATAGAGGTGTGAATTGTAGATGTTTTGGTGCATGCCCAGACTGAAAGGAGGCTTTGTGGTTTTGAGAGGAGTGGAGTGGGTAAGAGCAGGAGGAAGACTGTCAGTGGCAGTGACTCGGGGAAGGATCACACAGGCCGTGGATGAGCTGTTGGGACCTTGGTGTTGGCCTAGAGGAGGGAGGGAGGTGCTGGGGGGATTGGAGGGCAGAGAGGCAGGTGGGTATTCCGCCCTGGGAACTACTCACGGGACTGAACCACACCTGCCCTTTTCTACTTTTTTCTCATGAAATTCCTCTGGCTTCTGCTTTTATTTTTATTTAATCCCACTTCATTACTTTTACAAATAAAGTGGCAAAGTATGCTTAATTCTTACAGAATAACAGAGTTGGAAGGGACCTTCTTGGTCATCTAGTCCAGTGGTTCTTAACCTTTTTGAACGAATCGCCCCCTTGAGCCAATGAGGAAGTTGTCATCGCCCCCCTCCCCCAACATAACCTCTCAATCACAACATAGGAAATAATTCTTCAATTTATGCAAACACTTTTTTTGTTTTCTTTAAAATTGTCATCAGGACATATCAATGCAAATAATTTATTTCCAGTCTTTNCTGAAAACAAAATTCAATTGCAAGAAAGTGAAATGCCCCCCCAACAACAGTAACATTTAATGATTGAATTACAAGTGAAATTTAAGATGCAAAAAGAAATATAAAAAGGGCATAAGAACAAACCACGATGCAGGAACTAAGAATTTCCTCTCCCTCCCTCTCCCCTTCTTTCTCCAGGTGAGGAGAGAGAGGGAGAGGGGGAGAGAGAGGCACTTGAGCTTCCTCTCTCTCTCTTTCCTCTCTTTCTCTCTCTTTCTCTCTTTCCCCTCTCCCTCTCTTTCCTCTCCCTCCCTCTCCCCTTCTTTCTCCAGGTGAGGAGAGAGAGGGAGAGGGGGAGAGAGAGGCACTTGAGCTTCCTCTCTCTCTCTTTCCTCTCTTTCTCTCTCTTTCTCTCTTTCCCCTCTCCCTCTCTTTCCTCTCCCTTCCTCCCCCCTTCTTTCTCCAGGTGAGGAGAGAGAGGGAGAGGGGGAGAGAGAGGCACTTGCGCTTCCTCTCTCTCTCTTTCCTCTCTCTCTCTTTTTCTCTTTCCCCTCTTCCTCTCTCTTTCCTCTCCCTCCCTTTCTCCCCCCCCATCTTCTTCTCACCTCACAATCTTCGCTGACAAAGCAGCCAGGACTCCGGCGCGCCTTCCCAGCCAGCTGGGCCAATGGTCCCGCGGCTGGAGATCACAGGGGCTGCTCTCTCTCAGGGCCGTGGCTTGTGGGAAGGCTGGTTTGCTCAGCAGAGGCTCTGGCAGGCTGCTCCCAGCGGGGATTCCAGGCTTCCCCGTGCGGTTCCCCGACCACGTGTACCTCGGACGGGGCCAGCCAGGGAAAGGGACTTCCTGGCCGTGCTTCTCCCAGAGGGCGGGGCGCCCGGGCACAGGGCCAATCAGGAGCCCTGCGAGGGGGCAAATCCGCTTGAGAGAGAAAGAGAGAGAGAAGCACAAGTGCCTCTCGCTCTGTCTCTCTCTACAAATGGCGGAGGACGCTCGGAGCTGCAGGGGAAGGCTCAAAGGTGTCCCCAAAACATCTTGCTCCATCGCCCCCTATCGCCCCCTTTTCATTCCATCGCCCCCACGCCGCCCCTTTTCATTCCATCGCCCCCCTGAAAAATGAAATCGCCCCCTGGGGGGCGGTACCGCCCAGGTTAAGAACCACTGATCTAGTCCAACCCCCCTGCTCAAGCAGGAGACCCTATACCATTTCTGCCACTTATTTTCCCCATGACAACCCTGTGAGGTGGGTTGGGTCAAAAGAGGGACCGACTCAAAGCCACCCAGCCGGCTTTCGTGGCTGACGCAGGACTTGCACTCCTGGCCTCCTGCTTTCTAGCCTGTTCCTTCACCACTAGACCAAGCTGACTTTGTTCTAAATGCGGAAACCGCCAAAAAGTTCCAGGTTTTGTTTTTTCCCCAAAATTGGCAAAATTTCTGGAGCATGGTATGTAGCAGTTGTGGCTTTGAAATAAAACATCCAAGTGTGTGCATCCCTGGGCTCCTGCCAGATGTTTTGAGATTGGCTCATTTTGATGGTAGCAGCCGGTCGGTTTTTCTGACTAGAAGCAGGAGGGAGCAACAGGTAGGAGTCGGTTGATCAAGCCGTCTTGGGGTTGACTCCCTTTGCAAGGGGGTGTCCTCAGGGGCAGGATTGGCCCCGGTTGCTGTTGGGGTTCTACTCAAAATATGGGAACTGTGAATGATGGTTGCCTGACTGAGCCTCACTAAAGTCAGATGAGTAGGGAGCAGCCTAGAAAAGGTGCAAATTAAAGTGGGTTACGCTGCTTTGGAGGATACCAGCCGCAGGCGTGCCCAGGATGGGATGCACAAGTTTCACGTAGGGAAGATCCTGCTGGTTCTTTAAGTGGTCATCTGCGGATTCCCCTGGAGTGGCTTCCAGCCTGTGTTGACATTGGAAAGCTGTCGGGGCCTAACTCAGCCTTTGGGCAGGGTGCCGTTGTGGAACAGCTGCATCTGTCCGAGGAAGTTCCCTTCCTTTATCTCAGGCTTGTGAACTAACACAGTGGTCTTTTACTCGCAGAACTTTCTTGGCAAGGGGATGGCAGATGGCCACTCAAAGAACCACAGTTACAGGTAAGCAACCTGTTCTTCTGCCTTGCGGTCTCCGCACTCACACAGAGGAGAGAGTAGCAGGCTGGAAGTGGGGCAGGGTCCTAGCCAAGTAGATCAGGACTAGAAGCTGCTTCTGGTGCAAATGAAAAATCCACCTTGTGCTTAATGGAACCTGGGAATGGAGGATGTGCTCTGGCTACCATGACATTGCCAGTGGAGAATATTTGTATCTCAGGGTTGACATGAGGGGTCCTTGGTGCTCTCTGGGCTTGCTTGTTTTCTTGCAGACGTTTCGTTATCCTAACTAGGTAACATCATCAGTGTAATGTAACTAGCACTTAGTTACATTAAATTATTATGTACTTTATCCTGCTTTTTAAAAAATGTAAATAGTTGCTAGCAAAAAGAGGGAGTGTCTGTAAATAACCGTTTAAACTGCCAACATCTATGAATTAATATTGTGGAGCCGAGGATGTGCAGTGAGGGATATGCACATCTGAGACTCTTCAGAAAATGCTTTGCAAGAGAGAGGCTGGAAAATTGAGGATGAGAATGCTAAATTCACTTCCAGGGCAAAGGAAATCTTGGGCCATAGAAGCAGGGAAGATATGAAGAAACAGATCCAGAGGCAAATCCTTAGATATGCATTCAAAAGGTAATTCCTTTCAGCCGAAGAGCCCGGAGCCGCTGGGCGTTTTAGCTCAAGAAGAGGCTCTTTGTTAGGGAGTGCCTGGAGGCCTCACCCTTCCCTATCTGGGCTGGGAACCCCCCAAGCAGATGGGGGGGGGAATGGTGCTCTTGGACCTTGTGCCTGGAAGACAGTGAGTGTCCCTCCAAGGGGAAGGATCGGGACCCCCGCCCCACCCCTTTCCCAAGAGAGCCGGGCACAGCTCCAGCCAGGGATTGTGGCCCACCGGGAGGTCCCCTTTCTGAAAGGTCAGAAGGTCCCCTTTTCCAACAAGACCTCTGTCGGTGGGCGAGATTGTGAGTGAGAAGTGGTTGGTTTCTTTGTGTTTTGCTTTGAGTTGTGTTTTGGGAGATGAGGAATAAGACAAGGCGCTCATTTTAAGTTCATGTGTGTGTATGAAAACCCATCAGCTGTATAATTTATGCTAATGAATTGGACTATTTTAATTAGATTTTAGTTTCCCCCTTTTACCTCTTTTTGTGCGGCCTCAATCCTTTGAAGCCCCCGGCAGGCAGGCAGGCAGGCAGGCAGGCAGGCAGCTGTAACCTCAGCGTGGTCCTTGGGCCAGAGAGTGGCATTGGGCATCCTTTCTTGAGGAAGGTGGCACGTGCTCTGAGGCAAAATGCCAAGACGAAAAATGGGCCAAGAGGGGGGAAAGTCCCACGCTTTGGCGGAAGTGGAGTCCCTGTTAAGGCTGCTGCTAAAGTAGGCCAAAAGGAATCGGGGTCCACGGGATCCTCTCATTGGGCAGGTGGGGGGAGTGGTTCTCATTTGCCCTGGTCCCACTTACTGGCTGGGCCCCCTCCAGTGCCGGATCCACGAGGGGCTTTGTTTTCAGCCGCTGTCGCAGTGCACCCACAAGAAGGCTGTGCAGATTCTCTGTTGGAGGCAGATTTGGTACTTTTATTTTAGCAACATATAGATAAATTGATAATTGATGTTTTTGTAGAGGGGGGCAGCATTGTGTATCTCACCTGATCTGTATCAAGCTCTCGTTTGGGGGATAGAATCACAAACAAATAATCCAGAGGTGAAAACAAAGATTTCACTCATTTTCTTTATCTAAATCTCTGCCCGTGAGTTGACCCTTCTGGTGCTAGCAGGTAATTTCAGTGCTGGACGGTGGGATGTCTAGTTGAGAAGCTGCACTGCTTTGGGGAGGGGGCAAACAGGCCAAGCGGGACGGGCGGGGCACGTGCTGTACACAGAAAGGAAATTAGGTCCGTCTCGGTTACCCAAAGTTGTTTTTCTTAAGTAGTTGATCTTCCCCACTCAGACCTGTGGGATTCTGTCAGAATTTCCAGCCTGGAGGAGAGCTTTAACTCAATCAACTCAGAGCCCAGTTTAGTGCTCTGCTCTCCGCCGCAGGTATAAATAAAGGTTACCGGATTTGTCTTGTGGCAGCGATGTGGTGGGATCTGCCGCTCGTGTTTTATTACATTGCCCCCCTCCTGGGATTCCGAATGCGTTTCACTTCCCCCGTACAGCAAAGTTTCTCCAGCATTCAGAGTCCCTTTGCGTGCACACTCCTCGCTCCGGTCAGGCTCTCATCCTGGGAGGTTGCTGGATTCTGCCACACGACCCTCCAAACTGGGTGGCAGCCGACATCGGAGCAGAAGGTGGAGAGTTTGCTCCAGGGGGCTCCTTTCACGCTCAGCGCCCGGCCCGGCTGCCTTGAAGTCGAGGGGGGAGGGGAGGGGCCGGATCCAGTTCAGAGGCTGCTTCCAGATCCTTTTCAGGCCCCTGAGAGTGAGAAGCAGCTGGTGAGAAAGGGCGACTCCAGTAAAGCTGTGCAAAAGCTGTTCCTGTGTGGCAGATGTAGGCAGACGAGGGAGGAGCTGCCTGCTAAGCCCCTCCTGCCTCCCTCCCTCCCCCCCCCAGTGGCTCTGACTGCAAAGATGTTGGCTGGAGGGCCAGGAGAATGAATCCAGGCTCTGTCTGTCGCCCTCGCTGGAGTCCCCCTGCCTTTTCTCCAAAGGCTCAGGCTGGCCTCCCCAGGGCTCCCTCCGTACATCCCACAAGAGTCCGCTGAGGGGATTGTGCAGAAATCGTAGCCCAGGAGGAGTGGGGGGGGGGGACTCGGGCCTGGGTCTCCTCAAGCAGCGTCTCCCTTTGTCTGGAGGCTCTGCCTGCGTCTGTGAAGGGCGTCTTTCTCCGGGCCTTGTCAAGTCGTGGCTGAGCCACCATCTCTGCTGCAGGCCTCAGCGGGGGCCCCGTGAATAGCCTCCCCAGTGGGGGTCCCTGTGAGAAACAATGATGGAAGACCCCTGAGGAGGAGCCCTTAACTTTGGGGGTCTTGCTTTTAACTTTCAGGAGAAAAAGTAGTAGAAAACGCTACATCTGCTTGTGGATGCAAGAAACATATATGTGTAGGTTTACATACTGTGCTTTCATTGTAATTTTCTTTTTTTAGTTTTTTCTTTGTTCTGCCTAATTAAATAAAGCAGAAACATTCCTTTGAGGTCAGAAAGGTTATACTAGTTGGTGCTTCTGAGGGGAGAGCCACTTTTACACAACAGGAGATATTGTTTTATTTGTACAAATAAAGATATTGCTTTATTTATACGCTATCCAGAGTCCCTCTAGGAGGGAGATGGGCAGATGATAAATAAATACTATTCCTGAAGTAGACGTTTTTGGCCCGGAGTACTCCAGGTCCCCCGGGCTCTTCTCTTTCTCGGGGCTCCTGGCGTGGGAGACCTTCTTGAACTCAGGTCTCCTCCTTCCCTTCTCCGGCAGCACGGTGACCATCCGAGACATCCAGGAGCACCTCTCACAGGGCCACATCGCCATCGTGCTGGTCAACGCCGTCTTGCTGCTGTGCGACCTCTGCTCCAGCCCGGTGAAGTATTGCTGCTTCCTGCCCATCGGCCAGAAGTGCTTCTGCCGCAGCCCCGACTACCAGGGCCACTTCATCGTCTTGTGTGGCTACAACAGAGCTTTGGGGTGCATTTATTACAACAACCCTGCCTACGCGGACCGTGAGTAACTGCGCCCTCGCCCAGGTGTCGGCCTCCAACACCACCACCACCCGCAGCTCTGTGGGCCTCTGGGCGCCTCGTTTCTCGGGCAGTGTGGTGGGGTCAGGCGATCCCTCTGCAAGCGGGCTGTGTGTAGGCTGGGTGCCCTGCTCAGTGGTGGCAGGAGGGGCTGGGCTGTGGAGCCCCTTGCCGCTGCCCGTGTCTGACTCTGGTCCCGCTCCACAGGAACATGCAGCACCAGCATCCATAACTTTGAAGAAGCCAGGACCAGTTACGGCACAGACGAGGATATCCTGTTCATTTACCGAAACAGCTGACCCTCCGGCTGAGCTCCCAGCTCACTGCCATCGTGGCAGCCATCTCAGGGCTCGCAGGCCTCCACTCCTGGACTGCGCCGGGCTGGAAGCAAAGGAGGAGAGAGACAGAAGGGAGGAGAACGTATTTATGCCACCTTACAGCAGAAGGTCCATTGCAGTCTTAATAAATTACAGAATGTGGTTTCAAGTTGGGGGTCTGTCTGGGGACCCCAGGTGATTTTGCCCTGGGGGGTCCCAACTCTGGCCCCAGACCGAAACGTGGCCAGTTCCCCCCTCCCTAAAGAAAACTGAACTCTGCGCTCTCTTCTGATGCTGCAACAGGATCCGGTGTGGTCGCCCAATCCGAAGTCTGCACCCCTCCTCCCTCCGAGGCTTTCCCAGTTCAGCTCTCTTACCTGCTCCGGCCAGGCTTCTGCCTGCAGCACAGCCAGGCTGCTGCCCTAGGAAAAAGCAAATCTGTACATTTTTGCACATTTGAAGTGTTGAGATGCGGACTGTCCTTTCACGGGAATAAAACTCAAAGGCAATCCAGCTCCCTGAATTCCGTAGGAGCAGCTCCTATCCCATCATTCACAGTTTTTGAGTCTTCTGATAAAAATCAAGCAAATAAATTAAGTCATAGAGGGAGAAGGCAGAAAGGAAAGAAAGGAATCGGTGTCCTATAAAGAAGAGTTCAAAGGGGGGCTTCCCAGAAGGACACACAAACACCCCCAGCAGTCGCAGTCAGTGGCTCCTTCTGAAGCCTCATTCCCACTTAGAGGGACTTTTTAGGTGAGACAAAGTTTTGCAATGTTGGCAGAAGGAAAATGTTTCTTTCAGAGGACTAAAATCCTTTATGTCTACAGGTTTTGAATTGTGTGAATCAGCACTTTGTCAATCTACCATTTTGAATAATGTCCATTTAATTAATACTCTGTGATTAGATTATTTGTGAAAGGCTGCCAGTTCTGGCTATGCTTCATTTCGTCTTTAAAAAAGAGAGTATTTCGTAGACAGCAGCTGCGTCCTCCTGCTAGTTCAGCGGCCGCAGTTCATCAGCATTCTCCTCACTGAGCTCATCCAAGACTCATGTGTGCCCAGAAGTCGGCTTTGCTAGATCCAGTCAGCTGTCCCTCCCAACTAAGCCAGGGTGAGGCTGCTGTCTGGGCACAATCACTCCTAAGGGGCTGCACTTTTAGCCGTCCTTAACTCCTGCCACTTAAGTGAAGCTGTGGGCCTGCGTGCTTGCCCCAAACTAGCCACCCAGGTAATGGCCACTCTGGACCTCAGCCTGGCTTTGCCAGTTTTAAAGTGGCCACAGCAAGTCCAAATATGATCCGTTTGGGCCCCGAGAAGGGCTGAAAGCCTTCAGGAGGAGGGCAGGCGCCCCCTCCTGTCCGGCAGAGTCTCCCAGCTCCTTGGTGTTGCCTGCTGGGTGGGGGGAGAGCTGTGCCCCTCTGGGAGGCCCAGGTGTCTACCTCATCACACCGTATTTGTCTCTGCTCTCAGCCGGGGGGGGGGGGGGGCGCTTCTCTGGTGGCTTGAAATAACTCTGTGCTGTGTGTCTGCTCTGTGGTCAACTTAAACTCTTGTAAGTGCCTGTTAATGGCAGAGAATTCCGGGGAGTATCTTTGAAGCCACCCAAGTGGAGCTGCTGCTTCCTAATTCTAGCCCAAAGAAAGCGAGGCCGGTGAGGAGCTGATGGAAGTGGGCAAGGGTGACGTTTTATCAAATGGGACCCTTGTTGCTCCCTTTGGGTTTTCTGCAGTTCTTGGAAAGGGAGGGGTCCAGCTTTCAGAACCTTTGCTTTGCAATGGGAGAGTTGAGGCGTCCGAGCTCTTTCTGTCTTGCCCCGCTCTTAGTACTGGGTTTGTTCATAAATAGTAAAGAACGTGCTGCTTAATCTTCTAGTCTCCAGTTTAAGGGTGCTGCTTTTCAGGGGCTCCCTCCGAACAAAGCCCAGCTGAAACAGCTGTTTTCATAAACAAACTCATTAACAAGGGTGAGGAAGGATTGCTTGGTTACAAGGCGCTATCCTCACAAAGGAAACATTCACACAGCTGAGGTTGGCCCTCTGGCCTGGCATCCCCCAGACATGGGATGATGTGCCTGCCGCCTTAGAGGCCAATGGGGGGTGGGGGGGGGCTCCCCAGTCTTGGTGCAGAACCTGCAAAGGGGACAGGAGAGGCTCCGAGTTCTGCCTTCCTGGCCGAGAGGGCAAAGCTGCTCCTGGCGGAGCTGCGGGCGCAAGGGAAGGGGCTGGGAGGGAGACCAAGGCATTGGGACAGTCCGAATGAGGCCTGCCTGGGCCCTGCACGTTTTCTCTTCATTTGGGTGTTCTGGACAAGGAAATGTTTATGCAAACTTCATGATCACATGAGAGTAAAAGGGAAGAAAACCTGTAAAATAAGTTTTATATACAAAAGTATTTGTAAATCACTCAATAAAGCCTGCTTTCTTGAACATGCTTAGACTTTTTTTTTAAGATGGAATGGGTGAAGTGGCTAAATCAGGAAAAAATTCACTGGTTTTTCCTCCCAGATATATCTCCTGCTCTTTCTAGGCTGCTGCTTTGCTGGTTCCCAGAAGATGGAAAGAAAATCCGTCCTTCAAGGAAGATGCAGTTTGATTCCTTTAGGGGACGTGACATCGCGACGTATTGCAACTTTTTTTGCATTGCCAGAGCTGGGGTGGGCACGGCCTCCGCATGATGCAACCGGCCTGTGGGCCGACAGTTTGACACCCCTACGAGAGGTGGTTTTGGGAGCTCATAGGCTGTGATGGAGCACAAACGCCCCCCCCCACAAGTGTCTACTTTAGAGGGAGGGAGTCCCAATGTGGAAGGGTGCTCAAGAGTGACAAATTGGAAGCTGAAAGAGGGAGACTCCCAAAGCCACAGGATAAAGCCTGCCCTACAGGCATCCTCCTGCCTGGTTGTCAATCCACCTTGGGAGTGCAGGAGGAGGGACTTGCTTATCCCTCCTCTCAAGGCAGGTGAGGAGGGGTCCCGGAGGACAGCTGCCAGCCTCTGGAGGAACTGGTTCTTGAAGTGGGGGAGAGGAAACAACAGGTAGGAACTGTTAAGAGAAGGCTGGACTGGGAAGAGGCCAGCAAGACCTTGGGGGGAGGGGGGGCAAAAGACCAATGAAACCCCCCCTCCCCCCCAAACCTGCCCTTCCTTGAAGACAGTCCACCCTCCCGTTATTCTTTGTGTGCATTCTGGAGTGAGAGCCCCATCTTGACCTGTGCAATTCCCTCGGGGAGTTGAGCAGTGCCACCGGTCACTAGTCTAAGCTCAATGCAGCCAGCGGTCTTTCCCCCCCCCCCCAGTCTTGGCTGTCCTTTGGCTCAGGTTTTTCTGAATCCTTAAATACTGCACAAAGAACTGAACACAATACTGGAGGTGCATAAAAATACTATTTAACAGAATTATGCTGGGAGAACAAATACCACAGTCCTGGACAAGAGCTTTTATATCTTTGATACCGAAGGATGATAAGGAAATTTTGGAACTTAAAGACTATAGACCTATTTCTTTGTTGAATGTGGATTATAAATTTTTTGCGAAAGTTTTGGCTAATAGACTGATGCAGATATTGCAACACTACGTACATGATGATCAAACTGGATTTATATCTGGAAGATACATGAAAAACAATATCAGACAAATTGTAAATTTACTGGAATACTTGGATAAGAATAATCAAGTACCATCGGCCTTTATCTTTCTTGATGCGGAGAAGGCCTTTGATAAACTGGAATGGCAGTTTCTAAATAAAATGTTGGATTATATGAACTTTGGAGACCAATTCAAAACAGCTATAAAGG